GAGGTTTCCTGGAGTGCCGAGCGTCCTCCTTAACCAGTCCGCGGTCTGCCGGTTAGCGCAGGTCATCCAAATGACCCCTGCGCTAAACGATGTTCTAAGGAACTATAGTGCTCCTCCACGAGCCAGCCGATACTGGAGCATTTCTGGCCCGCTTGGTTCCACTTCGAGTGGGGGGAGTCTGCGACTTAGATCGGAGCCTTTACCTCAGGGGTGGTTCCATATAAATTTGGTTAAGATGTGGTGATGGCATCTGCTCGATTTTGAAGTCGAATTTTTAAAATTTTTAATACTTATTGGAAAAATTCAATTGGTTCTGCGTGCTATAAAAAAAATGTTCATCTGTTTCAATCTATTTCGTTTTCAGGCATCACCCTGTACAGGCATTATTTTGAAATATTCCATCCTTTAATCGTTTTGTATAAAGAATATGATAATATACAATTTTGGCAGGAATTACATAATCCCCAACCTTAATGTCAATTTTCGGAGAGTAAAAGCTTTATGCGACAAATAAAAATTCCGTTTTTGTGCTTTGTAAGGGAGGGGCGTTTTAAGCTGTCTGAAAATTGCGAAAGGGAGACTCGCATAAAATTTAATCGAAAACTTTTAAACAGCTCCAGTCATAATCGTAAATAGGTTATGTAATAAATCTGGGTATGCGATATACTGGTATGATCGTTTTTGTGACCTTTGACATTTTATAAAGTATTAAATTTTGATGGATATTGTCGGTTTTTGGTGGATTTACATTTACGTTCTGTGTTACCACTTAAAAGGAAATGGCAGATGAATTCTATTTTTGTACTTTATTGCATATTAATGTTTCGGTTTAGAAAATATCGGATTGTACACATTGATAAAAATTCTAACTATATTATCAATATTTAAAAAACATTTAAAACCTGTCATGTCAGGTAGTTTTTAAAAACGTCATATTTATCAGGGTTTTTGGCAGAAAAAATGTTCTATAAACATTTCAGAGTGGCTAAAGTATATTTTTGTATACAGTTTGTCTCAGATTCGCTTCTCTATACAGGGATCTCGGCTTCTATTTTACCTAGAGCAAAGGTTAAATGGGAAAAGTGTTAGAGAAAATTGGTCAGTTGGTTATGGAAATATCGGCGAAAAACCAAAAATGGCGTATTTCGTTTTTGGCCTGTAAATACGAAACGAATAACTTGACAGCTGTCAAAATATGACATTATTCGGTCACTTTTTTAAGACGAATAAGATAACGGGTATGACATGTCTTAATCGTCTTTTTTTATCCCGCAATCCGCCTCAACTTTCATTTTTCTTATGACTGCCATATGGGATTTTTCTATTATTGAAAAGACCGGAAAATTTCCAGTTTTGTGATGTCTCACAAGTGTCTAACAGATTTGAGTATCATCAAAATATCACACTTCGTAAAGTTAGGTCTCAATAATAACTTGGATAATAAAACAAAAAACATCAAACTACGTACAAATAACTTATAAATCATTTATTAAAAAGAAATATATTATATCTAGTTTACATTAGGCGAGCAACAAATCTGTCAATTAATGTCAGATCGCGGAAAACGTCAACTTTGCGGTTGTATTTCGAAGCGCAAAAGCCTACTTTGGATAGTGATCTAAGAAAAACAATTTTTCTTATAAATTACTATGGATTAAATCCCAATTACACACGTATTATTTGTTACCAACTTTTTGACTATCTGGAAATGTGATATGTTTAAATGTTAAATTACGATAAGCAATTAAAAATTTTAAATAAGCAAGAAATTGCTCGAAAGACATCGAGAAGAACGAAAAATTCTCGTTGAGAGATGACATACTGTCGTCTCGTCTCAAATCTTAGCTTGAGCAAGCACAGCAAATTTGCATTAATATTTATGAAAATGTCAAAATGTAATATCGATATAAAAATAACAATCATGTTAAAAATACCGCCTAATTAACCGTCTAATAAGAACAGATGGCTGTGTAGAATGTTAATTCAAGATAGCTATGTTAGTACAATACAAAAAACTTTTAAATGAAATTAAATTTCCAAAACAAAACAATAACAAAATGGAAATTGTCTACAATAAATAACCAGCTTACTTAAATTCACTCTTTCAATATTTGTGCCTATTACCTATTGCTTCTTCAATATTTTCCTCAATTATTCCTTCTTCAATATTTTTATCTTCGATATCTACATCTATAATAAATCTATCACCTTCATTTATATAAAAGTGTTTATTTTATGTTCAATTTTAATTACTTTTTTAATCTTTCTCTTCTTTATTAATGTTGGACACTTTTTTTAAATTAGGTAAATAAATTTTGTAAAATTGTATCAGTTTCTTTAACTGTCCCAAATTAATTCAATCGGATTGAAGACGCAATAACATGATTATACCATGTTTCTTAGCAATTTCATTAACAGCACACTATTTAAAAAATTCTAAAAGACGTGCCTTTGACATTCATGAACGGACAGGTCATTATCCATCAAAAAAGTTTGAAATTCTGGCCTTGTAGATTTTGTATTAGAACTCTTTATGGGCTGCCTAGAATGATATGTTGCATTATCTAAAACAATTACATTTTTAGGCTCTCAATTCGGAATCAATGTATTTTCGGACAAGTCTTCGAATACAGCTGATTCCATATTTTTATGGTAATCGATATAACTATTATTTCTTTATTTCAATAGTAACAGTAATTTTAGTTGAAAATAATACACACAGATTGTCTGTCTGAAGAACGTCTATTTTTTTTATAATAGTTACATAAAAACAATTAAACCATAGTAAAATACATTAAAGAACTTAATCTTTAACATTTCTCCCCCCCCCCCCCCCCCCAGTAATTATTCTTTAGTTTCAATTACTTCCTAACATCAAGGACAATGAGTTTAGATACTGGTCGCTTATATACTGTTCCTGCTTGATTTCGTACATCAACTATTCTCATTCTGTTGTCTTTAGCAGTATACAGTTTGATAACCAACCCCTTTTGCCAGGAATTTCTTGGTCCACTGGGATCCACCATAATAACTACGTCACCAAGTTGAATTGGTTTACCCTCTTGGAATCATTTTCTTCTTATTAAGGTGGGTAAGTATTTATTTGTCCAACGAAACCAAAACATATCGGACAATATTTGAGCTGCGTGTCAACTGGACAACATATTTACGTCCCTGTCATTGGTTTCTGTGCAAGAAAGAACAACTGAAGAAGGCCCAATAAGAAAATGATTGTTAAAGCTTCTAGGTCAGCTGGATCAAGCGATACATGAACTAAGAGCCTGGAGTTTGAAATATTCTCACATTCTGTCAAGAAGGTTCGTAAAACATGTTCATGAGGGTACTTCTCAACTAAAATTTTTTTTACGAATTGAATAAGTCTTTCCCAGCAACCTCCCATGTGTGCTGCTAGTATTGCATTACAGAACCACTCACATCTTTTAAGTGCACACATTGTCATGATTTCTGACTGGTCTAACTTTTGAAATTCTAAGGAGAGTTCTCTTTCGGCACCTTTGAAATTACTACCGTTGTCACTATAGATTTCTTCAGAAAAACCGCGTCGACATCCATATTGCCTCAAAATATTAATGAATACATTAGAAGTGAAATCATGAGATAGTTCTAAATGAACTGCCCGAATCACCATACACGTAAATATCACCCGGTATCTCTTTCGTGACTTCTTTTCATTGTCACTTCAATGGGTCCAAAATAGTCAATACCGGTTTTTATAAAAGGCCTTATTGTAGGTTCAATCCTACATTCCGGTAGTTGACCCAATAAAGGCACAGCTGGCACAGCCTTACTGTTTTTACAGTATTGGCAATTCTTTAAAACAGATTTTACAGTTTGCCTAAGTCTTAGAATCTAAAATTTTTGTCTTTAAGTTATTGATTGATAACTGTCTCTTGTCCTTGGTGGTGTAATTCCTCGTGAAAGTATTGAATAATGAGTTTGGTAATTTGTTTTGTGTCAGGACTGAGATGTCGAGATTTGTCTAGTCGTCCATTTAGTTTAATAAGTCCCTTCTCGTAGCAATAATTAAATTTACACAGTTTACTAGTAGAGGGTATTGACTTATTGTTTTCCAAAAGATTAATCTCGTTTTGAAAGGATTTTTTTTTGAATTCGTTTGAGAAAGAAGTTTTCATCTAATAGAATTTTATCTACAGTTAATTCTCCCTTAGTTAAATACCTGAATTTTATAAACGAGACAAAGCGCAAAAGATATGCTGTAGAAAGTATTAACGTTGTCCACTTTGAAAAATAATTTGGATTGGGTACGGCAATATATCTTTTATTTGTGTTCACACATACAAATTCTGTTTGTTTTATTTCTAATATATCAGGATTAAAATTAACTGACTGTACTGTCTCTTGTGGCCATTTATCCGGGCTAGACAACAAAAATTCTGGACCTTTGATCCGTCTACTCTTACTACTAAAATAGGAGTCACAAAGTATTTTAGTAGCTTCATCTGCTACATTGTGTTTTGAATTGACATATCTCCAGATTTTATCAGTAGATATGCCTAAAGGGTCTATTATGGTCAAATATTTTTAGAATCACCAATAAATTCCTAGGCTAGCAAATATGTCTTTCTTGCTAACTTCTTTTTTCTTCTTTCTTATAATATAATATTAGATCATCTCTCTTTCTTTTGAGCTAGCAACATACTTATTTTATTTGGTTATTGAATTTAATTTTTATGGTAAAAACCAAGTAGTAATAAATGTGAAAATATTCAGACATCAATATTCAAAAATAATAATTCTTTAAATAAAACATTGAATTTTTCTCAGGATTAAGTCTATATAAGAACAGAATACCAACTAAGGTTTTTCATTCAAAATGAAGAAACAACAGATATCGCGTGTTTGAAAACTCGAAAAAAACTTTACATAAAATCCGAATAGACGGACCAATGCTCGCGCCCCCAGTTCGGATCGAAGCAAATGTGGGGGGCTAGAGGGGCCTGCGAGGGGCCAATCCGCCAATGCTTTCTTTAGTGATGTTTCGCGACATGAATCGAAGCGAGCAAGAGAATTTGTACCGAACTTCGAGGAAGCTAAGTCTCGTGCCGATCAGTCAGTCAACGTCAATTGAAAGAAGAGCTTCTACGGCCATCAAAGAGGAATCGCAGCAGACCTATCATAACGAAGGGGCGTATAGAAGGTAAGATTTTTTTTTAATGAAAATGATGCAGAGAAAATCAACGATGCGTGGGTTGACGATATAAAAAAATGTAGACAGCAATGAAAGCTATGTTCCAAGAAAAACTACCGATAAATGTGTAACTTATTAAAGTTGTTTTATATGTTTTTTTTTTAATCAAACACCCTATATATTTTCACTAGATTGAAAATGTTTCTTAGAAATATAGGGTTGTATCGGTTTATACCAGGTGATCGGAATTCATGGTGTGATTTATGTCATAAAATGGGTTCATTCAACACCACATATCTCAAAATTTGGAATAAGAAAATTTTCTATTCATAATTTTACCAACAGGCGCTTTTTTTTAAATGGAACACCTTCTAAATAAAACCATACTAGAATAGTCTATACTACGAACTTACTATGAAAAGTAATGTTTCCTACTTCATTTCCATCTTATTCTTAAGAAAATTATTACAACGTTTATTTATTTAAATCAGTTTATTATTTACAACTATATTTCCTAATTTATATCAATAGTTATATATCTATTTTCAACTAACTAATGGCAAAAAATTCTATACACAAAAATGTTCGAGACAAATCCAGTCCTGAATCCTGAATCATCGATGGTTCTCGCAGTTCTAGAGCAATGACACCCAAAGTGAACTTTAATAATTCCTGTTGAAAAAACTGTAGATCCGTTGATAAAGGAAGATTTTCATAATACAGCTTTGGACATTACATTAAAATCAGTAGAAAAACTGAATAGAGTCAGCTTTCATAAATTGCTATAACTTTCGTAAGGCGAATTTTCCGATGTTGTATGACATGATTTCCAAAATTGACTGGACTTTTCTGGAAAGCTTTTATGAAGTTATGTTCCAAAAATTGGGAATTCTTATTAGACATTCCAAACAAATGTATTGCCAGAAGGTTTGGTATATTAAAAGGTTGCGACCTACGATGTATTCTATCTACAATACGCAAAAACATGAATATATATTGAATTTCATTCGCAAGAAATAACATTTTCTGAAATACATTTTCTTTAGTAACTAGTTCACATTTCAAAGTAATGGGATAGTACACAATTGTCGCTACTACTCGACAGCCAATTCCCATTGAGTCTAAGAAGTTGACAACCAAAATAGATGGTTGATAAATGTTTGGGAAGGTATAATTGGAGATCAGGTCATCCAACCATTTTTCTTCGATGGTCCACTGACTGGAGAAATTTACAGATGATTTACTCCGAGATGATTTACCAATTTTTATTGGGGGATGTACCTATTGACACTAGACACAGGTTATAGTACCAATAATCAAAATCGGATTAGAAGGTTATTAAACAGATGGCGCAGAAATAAATAGATTTGAAGAAAAGATGCATTCAGTGACTAGAAAGTTCCTTAGATCTAATGCTTCTAGATTTCTCTCTCTGGAAATATGTTAATGGAGATGTCTACCGCGAGAAACCAAGGAGATCAGAATAATATAATTAGATAAGTTTTTTGCTCTATTACAAGATCAATTTTAATTGAAGTTCGAAGTCCAAAATTTGACATTTTAATTAGATTTTGTTTAAAATTTGTCTCTTCATCGATTAGGCTTAAAAACCGTACTAGATACCTATCCGTTAACGTAGTACAGCTGATTACACCCGTTACATTAGGCGAAAAACCGTACATAATCGTGACTCGTCAAAAGGTTGATTTTGGACATGTACGGTTTTCGAACTCACCAATTCAATTGTACATTGACTTAATTTGTGTATAGCTCAAAATAGGAGTTTGTTTGAACATCTGCTACAAATTTGCTCTTTTTTTAAATTGTTTGAGTGTATTTTGTTTCCTCTTTTGTCCGGTCATGAATAAATAAATAAATCGTTATTGCTTTTTCTTAAGAATTTTCCATATTTCCGGTGGAGATCAAATAGAAAAATCTTACATTTTCTGCAAGTTCATAGTGTGGACTATTCTGGTCACAAATTTTGGTTGCTCTTATATGGAAAAAGCGCCTTTCGGTAAAATTATGAATAGAAAATTAAAATAACTACACCATTTTCAAGGATATTTGGTGAAAAATATTTCTTGTTTTAAATTAGTGGTGTTATATTAACCCACTTTATGACATACCTAAATCCCACCCTAAATTTGGAACCACCTGGTAAAAACCCATGCAAACTTATATTTTTTGAGAAAAACTCTCAAAGGAATTTAGTTAAGTGAAAATATGTAGGGTCTTATATTTAAAAAAAACATAACTTCGACAAGTCACAGATTTATCGGATACCTTGTATAATAGTAGTTACTTGCTTTTATTTTTCTCTGTAATTTTTATTTGATATACTTTTTCCTACCTCACATAGGGATGCAGCTATCGTTTTCTCACGCATCGTCGATACACCCTGTATAATTTGTAATATATTGGACAATAAAGTAGTTCAAAATCACTTTAATTATCAATTTGAATCGACTTTTCAATGGAATATCTTTAAAACAGTGTCCAATATAATTACTTCCTAAGACAACTGAAAGGATACAGCTTAGACTTGTTGTGAAAAGAGGAAGGTCTAAGGTTAAATAACAACTCTGCTATTTTATTGTCCAAAATTGTAAATATTAGGAGAGATGAATTCATTTGGAAAAAATATTAAATACCTACATACCTTTTTTTTTAATAGTCTCAGTAACATGAAGTTACCTATAATTTTATTAATCATAATATGTCTCTTCGTATGAACCAACTTTACGTCTTAGTTTTTCTTCTAGTAATATTGATTTGACACACACAGAGAAGATTATTGATTCTCTTCCATGTATTCGTGATTTTAAGATTACATAATGTTTGATATTCCGCATGGCAATGTTTTCATTAGGCATTACGTCTAAATAACAATGAATAAATTTAACGAGAAATAAAGTTAACACAAAAATAAAGCGAAATTTTATAGAGAGAGGTGATAAACTAATATTAGTCTAAGAGCTAGTGAACATTTTTCTTACATTACTCGAAGTAGGCTAAAAATTTGCAAAAAGATTGCCATAGGGGTAATAAGTTGTTATTCCAAACGTTTCGATAGGGGATAGGCAGAAAGGGGTGTAATGTCACCTTGAAGTCGTTCAATAGTAACCGAAATTTTTATTATCGCAAGTCAGTTGAAACTTCGTATTTTGCTTGAATTAAAGTATATCAATACCTATAAAAATTGTCAGACAAAAATCTCTGGCAGAAGGAGGTGTAAGAGTACCCCAAACATGTATTTTTTTAAATAAAATTTATATTATTCGGTCTTGTCTGATAATTTAATATGTTATTCTCGAGATATTTTTGACCGTGCAATTAAATTGTCAGACACAAATTCGGGGCAGAACAGCCTGTAAATAAGTTGCAAACTTCCCCTCGCTTGGCCGCCAATGACCTCAAGCTCGCCATTTATTTCAAAAAGATATTGCAATTTCTATGACACGATTTTTCTTTTTAACATTGTACAAGTGATTTCAAACAAAAAAAAGTATAAAAAATTTTAAAAATCACGCTTTGTTTTGAAGAGCACTAATTAAAAAGCAGCAGTTAAATATAAATAGACCACACAATTAAAATTCAAATTAAAAACTATAACTATAAAAGACAGATACTCTAAAAACGCAAAAGATCAGAACCAAACAAAACGAATAACCGTAATAACCTTAAAATCACACTCAAAACTGCAAAAATTACTACTGTAAAATCATGAGATTACATCAATAATGCGTATGCGCCGGATTATCGCAAATGTCAAAAGTAGTGTTTTCATCAAAATTTAGCTATGTTTTTAGCAGCATTAGAGGACCATTTCTACCACGTGTACCCAACGATATTGGCGTTCCATTTAAATATACAGTTCACTGTCTTTTCCTCACATCTCTAGTAAAAATGGTTTGCCATAACGAAACAAACAATAATTATAAATAATGTAGAGTAGGCTTCTGCCAAAACTGTAAAGAAATTCTAAATCATTCTTTAAATAGTTGCGGTCGTAGGAAAAATTGTGTACATAACTCGTTGGAAAATGTATTTTATGCACTTGCCAAATATATTATCCATATTCAAATTAATCAGACCATTTTTTTACTTAATTTCAGTATACCTCTTACTAGTAGAACTATTTTTCTCACTGGAAAAAACGAACCCCTCCCCCTCTAAATATACATATATGAATTTTGCTTAGAATTGCTAACCCTACAATTCTCTATCCATGTTTTCTGACTGGAAAAATAAATACCGAAAATCGTCACTGTCTCCTGGACTATACAGTTAGTAGATGATGATGAGGCGCTATCAGAAATGTTTTACGAAGATAATTGATCCTCTCACTCCGATTAAGAGATAGCGCGATGGCTTCACAACAAATGCACTTTTATCAATGGCTAGTTAGGGATGAGGTGGTATAATTTACAAAACATATATATATATATATACACTGTCAAATATGGTGCATTTTATAGGGTCTCTTAGGACTGACCTACTGTTTCTTGCATTTTCTGATAAAAGCTGATTTTCGACGTGTCGTTTTTATAAAAATATCTTTAATTTAAACCAAATTTATCAATATTTCTTAATCTCTCACGACAACATAATTTATATTTTTAAAAACCCTGTATCTTTATAAAATAACCAGTTAGTGCACATATTTGATATTGATATGACAATAGCAACACCCTGTATATTTTGTGTGCAACAATTAAAGTTTGCTTTAAATACTAAAGTTCATGTTCCTTTGATCGGAGGATCGCTTTCGTGTAAATAACGTTGTCTTTGGCATGTTTGTAATATGACAACATCTGGAATGGGTTAGAGGTACACCAAAGTTTACTTTATCATAATAATAAAGCGAGTTGCAGGATATTCTGCGGAATTTAATATCAAACTGAAACACGAAATCCCTTGAAAGACGTTTTCAATTTATTTCCGAAAAGTTTTAACCGTTTATTATACAGTGCGAATGTAAAGTATTACAAATAATTTTAACTTCT